TTTTTTAAATTTTTTTTTTTATTTTTTTTTTTTTTTTTTTTTTTTTTTTTTTTTGTTTTTATGCGCTAAAAATGTTATAGCCAAAAATAACGTATGGTCATATTTATATATGTATACATTATATATAAATATATACATGCATATATCATTTGTGTATACATATATTTGTATAAATATATTTTGCATTTCTCAATTTGTTTTAACGCATTCGAAGCAAATTTTTCCATTGCACAAGTGTAATTTTTGTTTCAAATTGTTAATTCTCTATAGATTTTTGTTTTTCTCTTTAGTTTTTGTTTTGTATATAAAAATTTTACTAACAATTGCACAACTTCGTCCTCATGTAATTTATGTACATTAAAATAACTAAAGTAATTATACAATATATACGATACAAATCTTCTCCAATAAGTAATCAATAAAACGACAAAATCTCCGTCTAAGTAAACCTTCATCATTTTGATTTGTTTTGCCTATCGTCGTATTCATGAGCTAAATTCAACTAATTTTAAAAACTAAAGATGACTCATACAAATATTTATAATGTATATAATTAATTAATAATTGATTGTTGGTTTACGAACAAGAAATATTTAGGTTATGCCAAAAAATTGCACTATAAAATGTTTAAATTCAAATTGTAAATCATAATAAATCAAACAAAAATCTTTGCTGCAAAGTAAATCATATTGTTGTCGTCGTCGTTGTAGTTGTTGTAATGCACTTAAATTAAATTAAAACTTAACAAACAATATTTTCATTATCTTCGTCTACTACTTTTTCTTATAATTGGCTCGGAAATATCGAAAGCATTTTTTCAATTTGGTAAGCGAAAAAAACGTATTCTTAAATGCTGCATAAAGACATAGTCCGTTAAATATTCACTACAAATATATTAAAGTATGTATATAGATAGTTATACATATATAAATGTACTACATAAAATTATAATTCATATATGGAATTGTTTGTCGTTCGAACATATTTTCTAAAAAAACATTTTGCTTTAGCTTAGAATTTTTTTTTTTTTTTTGAGAAATATCTTATAAAGGAACAAAAGTCTTGCAAAATGAAATTCGAAAACTGTTTTACTATTACTTCCTCAATTTTCATTAGTATTGTTTCTTGGGAAACAGCTTTGAAAGTAGCTCGTACCATTCAAGCATTCATTATTAAAACATAATATACATGTGTCGCTCGCTCTTCAATCCAATCGAATCGAATCAAATGTTTCTTTAGAGCTCATGCCATATGCGATTTTCTTTTTTGGTTGTGTGTGTGTGTAATAGTTTTTCTTTTAGTTTTTATGTAGCTTCTATTTAGAGGCTAGTCTACATGTTTGAGCTTGTCTTGCCTACGTTCTATTTATCAAATATTAGTTTATATAACAGGAATGCATGACTAATCATAATAATATAGAATACAAACTATAAGTAGCTAAACATCGATAATTATCGATATACATATATATATGTTTCTCAGTTATGGGCATTATGGACTGATAACTCCTAAGAGTTGCTGAGGTTGGGATTTGAATTTTCTTTAAAATTGGGGAATGTTTTTTTTTGCGTTTGCTTTTGCTTTGTGCTAACCGAAAAAGCCAATAAACTGATAAATTCTTATTAAAAAACGAAAACGAAAACAAAAATGAATCGAAATAAACGTTAAAGTTAAATAAAATATCTCTCGGGCAGGCAGGCGAAACTTGAACCGCATTGCGATCCAAGCTTAGGACTTTTTCACATTGTGCTTGCTAACTAGGGCCTGCAGTTTGTGCAGCTGACTAAGTAGATTGGCATTGGTCTCCTCCAGTGACTCGAGGCGCTTCTTGTAATCGTGATTCTCAGTAACCAGAATTTCCACACGCCGTTCCAACTGATCCATATACTCCTTCTTCTTGCGACGACTTTCCTGAGCAGAGATCTAAAAGAGTTGCAAGATATTTTACTATTGACCTATAGGGTATATTGGATTTTAGTGAAGTCCCCACCTTATTTTTAATTTTGCGTCGTATTTTCTTTAGTGATTTCTCTTCGGCTTTGGTTAGCGGCAGCTTCTGTGGTATGGGATAGCCCTCTGCCAGCAGCGTGCGCTTCTCCTCCTCCGTCAGCAACAGGGTGCCTGTAGAGCCTTTCTGTGGGCGAGAGAGAGAGAGAGAGAAGAGAGGGTTGTATAAGTATCCAATTGTGGCAAAGTTCATCGAATTATCTTACTGGCTGTGAGCTGATGAGAGGCGTGTGTATGGGCTGCCTCGTCGATGGCGTGGCATTGCTGGTGGCGCCTCCATTGCTGCTGTTGCTCGCCGCCCGTGTCATAGCCGCCGACGTTCGTCGCGCACTTGAAGTCTGTGCCACTTCGCTGGCGGTAGCCGTCGAGGCATTTGGCGACAGTGGAGCAAACAAATGCTCTGGCGACAAATTGCCCTCGGAGTCATCGCTGGGCAGCGACGAGGGCGGCGTAAGGGGTATGCCATAGGCGTGTGACTTTCCCGAGCTGCTGCTGCTGCTGCTGTTGCTGTTGCTGTTGCTGTTGCTGCTGCTGCTGCTGCTGGCATTGCTCTGCTTTTCGCTCTTGATGGCGATCTTGGGCAGCATCAGACTCTGGCTGCTCTGGCCGAGCAAGAGCTGCTGCTGCTGTTGCTGTTGCTGCTGGGATTTGATAAGGCTCTGGCTGCTGGCGGCCAACAGAAGGCCACCATGCTGAAAGCACAGGAAAAGAGGGATTAATTTTAGTTCGGCCTGGGACTTTTTTCGTAATCTGTCTCACCTTTTGGTCGAAGAGCAATTCTGTTTGTAAGTTGGCCAGGTTGATGCTGAGCTGCTGGGCACTGCTGTTCTGTGAGTTTGGACTGGCGGGGCAGCTGGAGTCGGGTGACATGGGCTCATCCTTGATGATCGCCTCGTCGATTTCAATATCCGAGCAGATGTCCGGCGATATGCTGCCCTCTCTGGCCGAGGACACCGACGAGCTGCAATCGTTGTCATCGTACATATCCGCCAAGTGTTGAGGTAGTTGAAAGTGCTCCAGCGTCACGTGCATTCCATTGCTGCCGCTGCCGCTGCTGCTGCTCTGGCCGTGCTGATGCTGGTGCTGCTGTTGCTGGTGGTGCTGGTGTAGCTGCTGCTGCTGCTGCTGCTGTTGTTGCTGGTGGTTCAGCTCAGTGGCTCGCGCTGTGCTCGCCGCCGCCAACTCTGTGATGGCTGTGCTCAACGCGGAACTCGCACTGGCGATGGCTCCACTCGTGCTGCTCAGCATGGCGCTGCTGCGACTGTTTCTTGCGGGCGGGTGTAGTGTTAGGCATTTGGGATCGATGGTGATGCGACCGTTGCCAGAGTAGCACTCGTCATCCATATCTGCAAAGGAGTGAGCAGTAGAAAAATTTAACAATTTTCCACACGAATCAAAGCTCTGCCACAATCAAGGGAACTGTGGCAACTGGGGAATAAGAACCATATTTTTCTCTAAAATAACATTTGCCATTTGTCACAATGGTAAATTGTGAATGCATCAGACTCTGTCTGAAAACATATTTCCATGAGGCATGACTAACAGAACTTTCTGTTATAGCAATCATGTTTGTATCTATGAAGAAGCGAATAGTGAAAACTTTCGAAATTGCATTGGAAACAGCAGAACAATTAAAAAGTTCATTTAGTTTTGACTGTTCCTAAGGAAACAAATTTGATATCAGATATAAAATTTTGTATATTAAATTGTATCTATTACATAAAGCACTTCATGGATATACAAATAATTATAAACTAATGATAAAATCTCTATCAATGATATCTGACTATCGGTATCTAATAAAATACATGAATATAACTAGAAAGTAAAAATGCCACAAGTGGAAGACTACATTGCGTTTTCATTAAGACAAAAGACAATAAATTCTCTTACGTTTGTATTTTAAACATAAGTTAAATCAAATAAGATCTGAGCAAATATTTTGCTGAGCAACCTAAATTTGTTGAATTTTACCTTTTGCTATGGCTTGGCCTAGTTGGCAAATATTATACAATTATTTGATATTGTTCTCTGTAACTATGCAAACAGATCCAAACATTGGATCTACTTGGATCAACGAGCTGAAGGCATACGCGCGCGTCAGCAGGTGCTTGTGGCATGCCACTTGTGTTTGCATTTAATACTAGCTATGAATGTTCCATTGTTTTTTCAGTTACGTTTTTCTCTTCTTTTTAATAAATTTTAATTTTATTTACACAGTTGTTGTACAGTTTCCATAAAATTACAAATAATAAAAATTAAGAGCAAAAAGAAAAAAAAAACAGGCCAACAGCAATTAAATATACCCTGCGCCCATATACCTACATACAAAACATATATACGGGAATATTACCAACAACAATAACTGATATCGCGTCAAAGTACAAAACTTCATGCACGAGTACTGCGTTAAATTGCTAAATGCTACCGCTACAGTTAAAAAAGGTAAAATAAAACACAGAAGCTGTTCAACTGTGTTTTTGTTGTTGTCATGTTTTGTCGTTCACTATGTACATGGCCTAAATTCACAATGGAGCCACCAACTGGCAACTGTATTTGTCTTGGCTCTAGAGGCACACAGCCAAAGCGTGAAAAGCTCAAGAAAACGTTAACTCAACCGTTATCCCAAATAATCGATAGCATCAATTGCTTTATTACTATTTTTTATTTATTTTATTTTTTAACATTAATGCGATATCGATAACAAATACATACCATCGATTTTGGCCTGCAGGCTTTTTGGTGAATCGGGCAGGGAGTCACCATCGCTGTTGAGACTGTAGGAATGCTCCGTTTTGATTGGTCCCGTGCCATTGAGCAGCGCATCGGAGATGAGCTTGTCGTGCAGTATGACAGCTGGATCCTTGACATCACGATCGTAAAACCAATCGTGCATATCATGATCACTGCTAATTTTCAAGGATTCCGTCTGTAAAAAAAACGCAGCAAGAGCAACAGAAAAAAAAAAAACAATAGCAAAGGTAATTAGTAAATGAATGAAAAACACGGCATGGGGAGTCGCAGTCGTGTTGCACGGCGATAGCGCGCACGCTTATATAACTTAGGAACAAAAGTGGAAATTTATACATACATACATATAGACAAATATATATTAATACATTTATTTGTGCAAACAAGAATACAACAACAAATACTCTGAAAATAATTTAAAAAGCGAATCGCACGAAATGCTGGCACACGTAAAACCAAAAACGCAGCGATACAGATATACGACCCATGCAGATAGCTCAGTACAATAATAATAAGTACAATATTTTTTAAAATGTATACATACACACGTATGCACATAAATATATAAAGATGGACAGCCTTGCATACGTCTACGAAGTCTGTATTTGTATTTTTGTTTGTCAATCTTATCAAAGGCGACAGCGGCACTATCGTACCCTTGAAATTCTCATAGATTCAAACAAAATCAAAATAAAAGTAATTTAAACTTTATCAATTCATAATAACTAAAGTGGACAGGGCATTGAAATTTTGTTTCGTTATTCTTTGAAATCGATGTCAACGTTGGCAATCAACTCAAAAAGTGCGGCTTTCTGTCAGACATTTCGATAAGTTTTTCTTTGTTATCTCTCTCTCTCTCACTGTCTTTTGCATGTCCTTTGGACAAAACCATCGATAACAATGAAATTTTTGCTCGCCGCTCATCGCCAATTTTGCGACACTTGCAAAAAGCTAATTGAAAAAGTAAAATACAAAAAAAAATGTGTAACAGATTAATAAATTAAATTTAAATGGATCGCATTTTGTGGTGCCGTGAGTGCGATTAGTCGCAAACAAAACCAAACAACCTTGAATAACAGCCATGTGCATGTCGAGAGCTGGATGCTCATCATCAAGTGCGATTTGCAACAAGTGTTTGTTTGTTGTTTGCCGCTGGCCAGGAACAAGTTTGCTTCTTCTTCTACTCCCAAAATATATAAATATCCAGAATGCGAAATTGGCCGCGATGATGTAATCTCAATGTGCCAGTTTTTGACAAAATAAGCGCTCTTAGAGACACATTTGTATAAATATGCATGTGTATGTGTGTGTATATGTAGAATAAAAGCAAGACATTTTGAATTTACTTAATTGCTGTAAACAAATCTACGGCCATAAATTGTTGACCCATATAAATGCGACACTTTCTGCATGAGAGTAAGTGTATGTGTGTGTAAATTGTTTTTGTAACCATACATACATTCGTATGTATGTATGTGTTTTTGTAGCATGATAAAAAGTGCATGTAATTACGCCTGGCTTTAAAAGCCCATTAGTATGTAAAATATATATTTTTTGCCTGGACAAAAAATGCTCACATTCTAAGCCACACTCAAATGGGAAATCCAGTTTTGGCCATAAGAAAAGGGAACGTCGTCGTCGCGGGCACTGCCATACATGCATAAGTGTGTGTGTATGCGTGCGACTGTGTGCGTGTGTCGGTGTGTCAGCCGGCTTGCGTGCCGCCACAGGTATGAGTCTCTCTCTCTCTCTCTCTCCTACTCGTCTCTTACTCTTTCTCTGTGCGCTGTCTGTATGTCTATCTGTGTGGGTCTTCTTTCAAGCTTACCACTTATTCGTACTCGGCATATAAACTTAAACATTGATTACCGTTTGCACGCGTGCATTGTATATGCCTTATTTACGTATGTACATACATGCATACATACAAACGTACTTACTTACATACTTATGCATGTAAAGGCATTCACTGGTATGCGCGAGGGTGGCTTTAAAAGTATTCGTACATTAACGACACTAGCGAACGTGACGTGCAACTACGATGACATTTGGTGATCGTAAATGCGTAAATGCGGCTCGTGATGAGACCTGCATCGATAACTCAATGTAATAGCGATGACTCTCGACTTGAACTACATAATTGCATTCCAATATAGAGAGACGCACTGGCATAGAGACGAAAAGCAGCGGAATGTTTTCGCAAGCCACATTTTATGATCCACCCTCGTTTGCATGTAGGTACATACATATATAAGTCTGTTTGTATATCCCTGCACAAGTGCTTTCTCCATATTTTAGCCGACTCTCTGCAGCGGCCAAGAATCACAAAGTAGCAGCGGCAGCAGAGAAGCGTAAATAAATTGTACAACTGTGTTAGTGTGTGTGTGTGTGTGTGCTGTGCGTGCCTTTAGCGTATATATGTATGTATATGTGTTGTGTATGTTTATGATAAGTTCAACGAACCTTGGAATTGTTGAGAATTAGCAATTCTTGAAAAATGTTACCAAAACGGGCAACATAAACACACACAGACAGAGGCACATATACAAAAGAGATATTGTGGGGAGCTCGATGATGAAAGAAAGCCAAGAGACAGCAAAAAATAAATGCTCACAGGCATTTCACGATGCCCCCTGCCTCTCAGCTGTTGCTGTTGTTGATGCTGTAGATCGTAGCAGAGCGGCGCTGGGGGCCAAGTTACGAACAAATCAAAGATGTGGAGCATCGGTGAGCAGGTCGTTTGCTGCAGGTTTCAGGTGATCTTTTCTTTGTCTCTCTAGCTGTCTTCAGGTTCGATGAAAGGTGAAGTCAAGTGCTACCTGCCCTCGAGTGTTCAGCGGACACTTAAGCCGCAAAAAGCGCTTAAGCAATAGCTTAAGCATCTAATGATCATCACACAGATACATACACATATCGATTGTACGCTTGGCTATCGCTGGCAAACCACTATCGATGCAAATGAGCACCTGTTGCACACGCGTGCAACGCGACGTATGCGTTTAATGAGAACGTTTTCCACATTTTCAACGTTTCCAAATCTATTCAAATACAAAACTCTAAATGAGCCGCCGTAGGGCTTTTGGATTTACAATATACATACATACATATATATTTGTACATATGTATTGAAATGTGAATGTATGTAAATACATACTTATCTGGTCGACATTAGCATATCGCATTCGATCCATTATACAATTTTATTTAAATTTATTTTTCTGATTTTTTTGTTTTCGTAGTTTTAGGCAAAGCAAGAAGGGTGTAAATGATAAAAAGAAATATAAAAAAAATAAACAAAGAAACAAAATACAATTTCATAAAATAATTAAACTGGTTATAGTTTTTTTTCTGTCTTTCTTCTTTTTGATTTCGTATTGTCTATATGTATGTATGTATATATATTTTGATTTTGCTTTTTTCGCTTGCTCCACAAATTGGATTGATTAAATAATGTTGCAGCAAGCGAAAACCTTTCACATTTATAAAAATGCACTTGTGTGAGTGTATGCCTGTCTGTGTACATGTGTACTTATGTTTGTAGGCACACACATACTCAACTGACATATGTATGTGTGTATCGGTTTGCTTTGTGTGTTGTGCACAGCATTTTTAGCTGCTCTTTATTTCTTTTCAATTTTAATGCTTGTCTGTCTCACCGTCTTTTTGTTGCTACTACTACTGCTGCTTGCTGCTTGCTACTTCTTCTTCTTCCTCTTCTTCTTCATCAACATGATCATGATGTTGATCATCGGCGTAAAGTGAAAGGTGCTCCCACAATTCAAAAATGCTTTTTAACTTGAAAAATTGCTACGCTTTGGCTTGCGCTTTGGTTTCGACTTTTGCCTGATTCGCTGGCAGTCGAAAAGAGCGTGGTAAATGGTAATTGGTAAATGTAAAGTGGCCCAAAAAGAAAGTGGACGAAACTGTAGAAGAATGCTAAAAGGCAACCCTGGCAACCCAAAGCTGGTTGATTGCCTTTCAAATGCTATTGTTGGAAATTAATGTTGCAAAAAATAAATTTGGAAATTTATTTATTAGTTTTTTTTTTTTATCGTATTTTTGCATGGTTTATTTTTGGCTATGTTAATTAACTAGCGCCAAATGATCGTTGCCATTAATTTGTTTATGCTTACATAATGATCGATAAATATTATATACACGATTTTTATCGGCAAGGCAGCTGACCTTCTCTAGGACAGTTGACGCCGCATGGGCAACCCCTATGGGCGCCGAATTGGCCACTATTATCAGTCACATACATAAGTGACGATTTTTTTTTTTTACTGTATTCCAATTATAAATATAACCAAATTGTTATATTAATAGTAAATACAAGAAGAACAACAACAATCACTGCGATATGGCGTGGGCGTGCGTCCTATGCGGGCTTAACCTTATCAAATGGCAAACACATACATATAGGTGTGTGTATGTGTGTGTGTGTGCGTCTGTTTGTAAAGAGAAATGTACGCAAGCAGCGAGGCGCCCCTGACGTAAAAGCCACCCGCCAGTTAACCAATTCCCCCACAATTCCGACAACAAAAATATTCGCAAAACGGAAATGTTGTGAAAGTTGCGAATTGGCGCACAACCCACGCGTGAAGACTCCAGCCAGTAGCCATGGCCACCACCAATTCGGTGGGGTCCTCCTAATGGCATTGCGGTTGCTCTATACTCTATACAAGTAGCTAAAGCGGTTGACTTTGACGCCATTCACCAAACAGAAAAGACGCAGAGGCGAAATAGCAATAAATAAATAATTCAAACATCGATAGCCAATAAAACGGAAGCAAATTTATGTAGATCAACGCCAAAAAACCAATTGATCAAGTGAGCTTTTTGTTAGCAAACACACAGGGTGACTCACTTAGGATCATCAATATTGCTGAGTGACTCACTGCAATAAGCATTGCCGATTGGCTTGATGTTGTGGGAAAGCGGTAAATTGTTGCGATAAGCTCAATTCCAGAAACTAATTACTAATTGCAAAGGGCATAACATAGTGATTCCATAAATGGTAACATTTTCGACTTCTGTTCATACTTTCTATGATTTTTGTTATATAAATAAATGCATATCTGTATTAAATAATTAAATTAATTATCTATATTACTTTTCAAATATATAACCTCTCGCACTACCCTCGTGTCAAACTATTTGCAGCTAATAATATTCCTT